ATTCCTAATTCCGGGCAAGCAATAGGGGTGAAGAGGCTCTTATAAAAATGTCAGACCAAGATTTAGGCGCTCGTGTGTATTGGGACGTGCTGTTCTTGGAATGTTGTAATAATTATTTCTCTTTCTTTCAACTTCCATGAGGACTTACTTACTTACTACTTTTTTATGACTTCGCTCCTATATTCTTTTGTTTTTCCAAAATTAATTTGTGTGACCGCTATAATTGGGTAGCCATTTGAAGTCGTCGTGACCTAAAGGATAAGATGTGCGGTGCATTCGTATCGAGCCATGCATTGGTGTTCGAATCCCGCAGGCAAAGTACATTTTTTTCTAATGGCATACATACTCAACAAATGTTCACGATTGACTTCCACGGTGAAGGAATAACATCGTATAATTAAAACCAAACCCGCAAAATTATAATTTGCGTAATTACTGGGGGTAGGACGTCTTGTGACTCCACACGGGTAGGTACAACCACCCTGCCTATTTCTGCCGTGAAGCAGTAAGGCGTTTCGGTTTGAAGGGTGGGTAGGTCAGCCGTTGTAACTATAGTGAAACCTTAGAACTCATATCTTAAGGTGGGCGACACCATTTACGTTGTAGATGTCTATGGGCTCCGGTAACTACTTAACACCAGGTGGGCCGTGAGCTCGTCAGCCTAAGCAAAATCTAAGCAAAAAAGGCCATTACCTAATTCGATGTATGTAGCTTATTTCGAGGTGGGCAGATGTCACACCATGAATGTCACCTCGACTCCCGAGCTCGAAGCCACAATTGTATTGTTTTAACGTTACAAACTTAAAACCGAAGCGTCTGACTATTACCCACCAGAAATAAGCAGCATAGTATTGCCTATCTACTCAACGTTATAATGATTTTAGTTCATCACCACAGAAATCGTTGTTAGACATCTAATAGATAATGTTACTAAGAAAAATTGAATATGTCATGTCCAATCAAAACCACGATATATTCACACCACCGCACTAGCAGTCTTAGTTGTTAGATCAAAGATACTTTAAACTTACTATTACTGGTGCTAGGACGTCTTGTGAGCCCGCACGGGGGGTACCACCACCCTGTGAGCCGTGAGCTCGTCCAACCACCTAAAAATAATAAAAAAGGACGTGTAGCACTCGGGGACTGCCGCTGTAAAGCTATCGCATTTTTTATCAACTTATGCAATTATAATTAGACAATAATAATTTAATATTAAAACAATAATAAAATAAGACCACGCTATATTTATAAACATTAACAAAAGCGTAACATTGACTGTCCCCTTCACACTCATAAGCTAGACCGCGCAAGAGAGAGATGGGCAGATTTTTCATGATGCGCATGCAGTGCGACGTCACGCTGCGCGCTTATTCACAAACACTACACGAGCGCAACGTGTGAATGTGTTGAACGCGAGCTACATGGTAGGCGGAGTGGGGGTGTTAAGTTTTATTTTCGTTACGGAATTTCTTGTTTCGGTCGCCGCGCTCAAAGCCCGCGGTAAAAGCTATGCAATAGCTTAATAATAATACTAAAAAAATATGAAAATGCTTAGTAAATGGGCACTAACTTAAGCAAAAACCATCAACGTTTAACGAGGTAACAAGCATGAGGATGAACATGTTCCCAAAAACTGGAACTTCGAATCTTTTTTTTTTTTGGAGTTTACTCCTTAAGAATCGATTTACATATATAGGCCCGGGGTATGAAAATTATGGGGACCAAAATCGTACTAGAGAGTATAGCATGTCACACGAAATGCGTTATGCGCCTGATTGGCTCCTGATTGCGTGATGCGTGCGCGCGCCAATCAGGAGCCAACGCGCGGCCGCGTTATCGCAGGTGNTTTTCATATCTTTTTGTCTACTCATTGTGAATGGCATTCGTTAGAACGGATATACTTGTCCTATGCGAAATAAACGACGTTTTAATTCATGGAGGACGTTGAGATACTTGACGTTGTTTTTGTTCAAGGCCTCGAGAACTTTCCTATTTAATCAACCTAGACTAGACTAGAGGAATTTAATTATTTTATTTTATGAATACTGCGTAGGTGTCCTTAAGCTTGGAGGACCTTGTCCTTCTCGTCTCCCTCTTCCTCTCTGGAGGTGCCAGAGTCTGACATAATCCGGTCCGTTACCCCCTCGACTGGGTATCAGCAAATAGGTTCCCTAGCATTAAAAAAAGTCTCTTTAAGCTGATCTTCTGGTCTACACATACTGTGAGGAAGAGGAATAAACTTTCGCACGAACTCAGCTTATAATGTGCGACAGCAAATTTCAGGCAGCAAATGATTCACTTAACTTTATTGTAATGGTAGGCAGCGGCTTGACTCTGCCCCTGTCGTTGCTGACGTCCATGAGCGATGGTAACTGCTTATCATCAGGTGGGATGAATGATCGTCTGCCTGCAATGGCAATAAAAAAATCTCTGCCCCAAGATGGTCAAGAATATTCAAGAATTAGTCCAGTTTGGGTCTGAACACAGGTATTTAATACTTTAGGGCTGCCACTAGATCCATATCCATTAACGGTGCTTTTAGGCACCACAAGCACAGGTCACCGTCCTCGTCGAACCCGTCGCTTGCGACAAAGGGCTCGACGAGCGAATTAACCCATAGACTCAGCCCACTGAGTTTCTCGCCGGATCTTCTCAGTGGATCGCGTTTCCGATCCGGTGGTAGATTCTGCGAAGCACTGCTCTTGCTAGGGTCAGTGTCAGCAACTCTCCGGTTTGAGCCTCATGAGCTCACCTACAAACGTTAGGGTGAAGCTGAAATAGCCTCTCAAGGCTATCAGCATAGGTAGGAAAAAAAAAGTTTCATATTAGTTGTAGTGAGTGGTAGACTTGGATATATTTAAATTAATTTTTTTTAATTGAGACACACTGTTGTCAACAAAAAAAAATTAAGATTCCGTGAACAAAAAGCAAAAAAGGAATCGTTTAGAATGTTTGCGTGTTAAAAACCAGTTATGGCGCTACATGGAAATCACAAGAATTTCACCTTAAGGGTTTAAGTCGAAGTCTCAACTTTACCAATTCGCAACGTGAGGTATTATAATAACTTTTGCGTTCTGACTTTTCCCGTGACCAGATTAAACAGGCTTATTAACAACCTGTGGTCAGACGAAGGGAGGAGATGGGCACCACTATTAATGTTTGGAAATTCTCTGGCTAAGCTCGGTCGCGAGTTTGCTAAGTAAAAATTCGAGGATTATTATATGAGTCCGAACGGGTGGGTACCGCCACCTTGCCTATTTATGTCGTGAAGCAGTAATGCGTTTTGGTTTCAAGGGTGAGGCCGCAATTGTACTGTAAAACTGAGACTTAGAGCTCATGTCTCAAGGTAGGTAACGGCATTTACGTTGTAAATGTCTATAGGCTCCGGTAAACACTGAGCCACCAGGTTTATCGAGAGTTCGCTATACCCATCATATAAGATCCTGTTTGGCGCCCCACATAAAAAAAATATTATTTCATTTCAATTACGTTATGGCATTTAAGAATTTACCTTTTTCATGATGCCTAAGCCGGAACGCACGAGAGGTGGAAAAAAGAAGATATTTTACCGTAAAAAAAATAAGACGGAAAAAATAATAAGTCACAACTTAAAGTGTAAGTAAGTTAACAATAAAAGTCCTATTGTTTCGATTGTGGTGTTAATTACGAGCCGGTCACCGTCCTCGTCGAACCCATCGGTTGCCACAAAGAGCTCGACGAGCGAATTAACCCATAAACACAGCCTACTAAGTTTCTCGCCGGATCTTCTCAGTGGGTCGCGTTTCCGATCCGATGGTAGATTCTGCGAAGCACTGCTCTTGCTAGGGTCAGTGTTAGCAACACTCCGGTTTGAGCCCCGTGAGCTCACCTACTAGTTAAGGCTACGCTGAAATAGACTCTCAAGGCTATCAGCTTAGGTAGAATATAATAATAATTACGAGTGATCCAAAAACACGATTTTCACGAGAAATAAAGAAGGGGCTCTATACGGACTGCCTCAACGTGTTAAGACTTACTAGTTAGACTTACGTTAAGACTACAAACCCGTCCCGCTTTGCTCGCCGTTCATTGATTTAACTTTGATCCCACTTCTGCCAAACTACATAGAAGCCAAACTGAAGATGTATTGCATTACAACAATAACAAAAGAAAGTTTGGCTGATAGGATTCAACAAGTTTAAATATATCATCGAACATATTAATATCTTGATAGCGGAGGCTTAATCTGAATATAACTTTATGAATGACTAATTCAAATCCGGGAGGATAATATTAAAAATTATGCGAACTCTATGAATAAATAATTCACTGGTGGTAGGACCTCTTGTGAGTCCGCACGGGTAGGTACCACCGCCCTGCCTATTTCTGCCGTGAAGCAGTAATGCGTTTCGGTTTGAAGGGTGAGGCAGCCGTTGTAACTACACTGAGATCTTAGAACTTATATTTCAAGGTGGGTGGCGCATTTACGTCGTAGATATCTATGGGCTCCAGTAACCACTTAACACCGGGTGGGCTGTGAGCTTGTCCATCCATCTAAGCAATAAAATAAATAAAAACTTAAAATGTGATAAACATGAAATTACTTTCCAATTATTCTCAGCGCATAAAGAAGTATTTCATATCGATAATAAAACTATTATTGAATCACCAGTGAAAGGCTGTACGTATAAAAATATTTTTGATTGCTGCCGGACTTCCATTTTTGATCACTGTTTTGTTGAGACCTCTCCATCTACCGGTTCTTCTAAATCGTTTCGCTCTTGACTGAATGGTCGTGATTATTATGTAGTGTTTGTTGGAGGAGGTAGACTTGACGCGTCTCACAATGTCCCAGCATCTCTTCATACCAGTTACCATACCATACAATTTAAAACCGATTTGGTTTTTAAAAAAAACTTGTATAGATGTTTCAAATATTTTACAGATATGACCACCGAACGTAAATACTAAAGAATGTAAGCTCAGTCAAGTTTTTAACATATCCCCCATGTTTCCAGAAGCTGGTTGTGGGTGGTCCGAACCAGCGCAACTGGCGCGGCATCCTGATCGCATTACTGGTCATCGTGGCTGTCCTCGCCCTCATAGTCACTTCCGTGGTGCTTCTGACTCCTCCTGATGAAGGCCCGAGGGTCAAAGGCCGGAGATTCCGCATCCAAGACTTGCTGAACAATGAATTGGAACCGATCAGATGGAACGGGACGTGGATATCGGGTGAGCTGTTAATGACTCTCTTCTTTTTCTCCAACATATCCCACTAGGTGGGGTCGGAACAGCAATTTTTTCTCTTCCATTCTCTTCTATCAGCCGTCATCTCAACACTCATTCCCCTCTCTCTCTCATATTGTCATTCACACACTCCATCCATGTCTTCTTCGGTCGACCTCTGCCCCCTCTACCTTGCACTACCATATCCATACATCTCCTAGTCACATGCATCTTCTCTCTACGCATCACATGTCCATACCACGCTAACCGTCCGCTCTTTAATTTGTTGCTTACCGGGGCTACTTTCACACTTCCTCTGATATACTCATTCTGTTAATGACTGTTAACTGAGCTGTTCATGACTATTGTTATTATTTGTACGCGGTATTGTGCCGTTTTATTTAGTCAAAGGTAAGTGTGTGACCATGAAAGCCGGCAATGTAAAGCGTACAGACCCATTGATTACAGTAAACAGTACTTACTGTCTTGGTGCTCTAAAGATAACATATCGCCGCACTGATGAACTTTATGAACGACTTTCACGTTGAATGAGGAATAGAACAAAAAACTCTTAATTGAACATCACTAACAAATACTAAAAAGAATAATTAACAACGAAAGAGGGTATTATGATAGATGGTCATATAGCTTAAAGCACCATCTTGTAAGGTGTGAAATTATATCGTCCCAAAAATGGTGAAATTTTTATTTTGAAATATTATACAAATATGTTGTACACGGTGTTTCCCGAGCGCTATGACATATCCTTCTTCAAACGAGGTATGGGAGAGTACTAAGCGGTAGGCAGCGGCTTGGCTCTGTCCCTGGCATTGCTGAGGTCCATGCACGTCTGCCTATAAGGGAAATAAAAAAAATTTTAGACATAAAACTTAAAAAAATAAGTTGGTTTTTATTATTTTATAAGTAAAAAAGCTACAGGAAAATCTCTTTGGTTATATTGTTGTCATTGTATCATGTATCGTGTATTGTGTTCAAAATTTTTGCAAAACAGAAAATGTTACAGGTAAAATAGTTTCCCGCAATTTTTCTAAATTTTTTTTATCTTTTCCATCCAACATAATAACTGATTTTCAACTCAACGGCGATGATCAGAAAATACATATTGCCATTGGATCCGAGAAGTTCTCGAGTGCAGAAATTAACTAGATGTCGAGCAGCGCAAAGGTCTTTGTGACAACAGCCTACAAATCAAATCAAATCAAATAAATAAAAAAATTCTTTTTTTAATTCAACATAAATAAAAGTACATACTTGTTGAACGTCAAAAGAACTACCACTACCACACTTTTAGCTTAAAAACGATTAAACCTTCGATTCGACATAAGGTCCTTATGACCACTTTATTATCATTTCCCATTCGCACATTGTTCCACCGAATCTTTCTCGCTTCTGGTTTCTCGTGTTCTTTCTGTACTGAAGAATGCATAGCCTACACGGTGAGACACTCTGTCGGCTTGAGTCTGTCACGTCGACACAGCGGCTGACTAAATGTCTTTGTGAGACATTTTGAGAGCACTGCCTGAAAGCACTTACGCTAGACATTCAGTGTTTGTCTCCTAGTCTCGGGGGCTTACCAAATATACCTACGTGTCAGAGAATATTTATTATATTCGTAACTTACAATACACTTTGGTGAAAGGTTTTTGATATAGACGAAAACCCGTATTGTCGATGATCGAATATTTGTCAATACGAGAACGATTGTATTCAATTATTTTTGAACTATTGATATTGCTCGGAGTGCGCTCTGATTAATGTTCAAGAATGATTTCCACGGTGATGGAACAATTACGGCACGGTTCCAAGTGGTCACAGCGATACAATTTTATTTATTTAATTTAACAGTATTTTATTTGTCATCTAGTTATTAATTCTTCTGCGTTTCCAATGAAATATATATATATTAGTGGTTGTTTAGATGGTTGGACGAGCTCACAGCCCACCTGGTGTTAAGTGGTTACTGGAGCCCATAGACATCTACAACGTAGACGCGCCACCCACCTTGAGATACAAGTTCTAAAGTCTCAGTATAGTTACAACGGCTGCCCCACCCTTCAAACCGAAACGCATTACTGCTTCACGGCAGAAATAGGTAGTACCTACCCGCGCGGACTCACAAGTGGTCCTACCACCAGTAGCACCAAATTGAAAGCAAGTCGTTGTAGTGGACTGTATGATTAGGACTGGCAAGGAACTTGATAAATAAACTCGTGGGGATTGCACGTATAAAATTTGTATATTTTAGAAATTTTATAAATCGCGTACAATAGCACGGTTGAAAAGAGAATTGACAAAACTAAGACATTCCATAATTCAAATTCAAATGTAATGTCAAAAACCACAACGACAACAATAAAAAAGGTTTTATACCATTTTGTTGGGTTTCCAACAGTCGTTTATCCATTAAAAAAAAACTAAATTAAATCTATCGAAAAGTCAATCTGATGCCACAAATTCTCTATGAGCACGCGATTCACGTAGCTCTTGTTTGTTATTAACAAAGAAAATCAATAGAAATTACCGGCTAATGTTTGTGTTAATGGTTCACAGCATGTACGTTCGTGTAATGGGCATTTCACGCAAAACCATTTTTATAAGAAAAATAAGCTAAATAATCCTTAAAACGAAGCTACTAATTTTCGCGACTGGTAGGCATTCTCGAAACCTGTTTTAAAAGTATTTTCTTGTTCCTGATTTGTAAACAAGCTCAAAGGTTCATCTAGTATTGGGACCATAGATATAATAAGATGAAAATCACCTCTTTGAGACCTAAAATCTAAATTTTAATTAGAATTGCGGGTGGCACCCATTTCGCTCTTCAGTGCGGAATCCATTATCACTTCGCCGCAGAAATAGGTAAGACGTTGCTAGCGGTCCTCACAAAAGCAATTGAGTTAGACAGGGAAATAAACACGGGAAAATGGAATATGCTGAGTAGTTTCGTATCTATTGAATAGTAGAAAAACGATCATTATAATATTCAAACAGATCATCATATGGCATCAAATCGTTATAGTTCAATCGTATGTAAGGTACTGGTGGTAGGACCTCATGTGAGTCCGTGCGGGTAGGTACCACCACCATGCCTATTTCTGCCGTGAAGCAGAAATGCGTTTCGGTTTGAAGGGTGGGGCAGCCGTTGTAACTATACTGAGACCCTTAGAAATTATATCTCAAGGTGGGTGGCGCATTTACATAGTGGATGTCTATGGGCTCCAGTAACCTTTTAACACCAGGTGGGCTGTGAGCTCGTCCATCCATCTAAGCAAAAAAAAAAAGGTGTAAAAAAACATATCGGAACCGATACATAATGAACTATTATCCAAGCGTTTATTAGTTAAATTTCCTGTAACAATAAATCTATATTATGAATCACAATAAATTCCTATACGCACCATGGAGGATCATTTGAGAACGGCTTGATCGATTTGATTGATTTATTTTTCGTTGGAATCGTAAGTCTCGAGAATAGTTACGTCCGAAATATTTGTTTTTACAATAAGCGATATATTAGACGATTTCACAATTGAAGTAATAAGCAAATGTAAAATAAAGCAATGAAGTCGTCGTGGCCTGAAGCGTGGCGTCCGGTGACTGGTTATTAAGGGCTGCGAGGGATGTGAGTGTTCATATCCCGCAGACAGATGCTAATCGATTCTAAAGAGATATCCACTTCCACGATGAAGGAATAAAAATTATATTAAGAATAAGGATACTAAGTTTTACCAATTTTAATTACCGTAGGCGTAACGTTAGGGTATCACTGACGTATCTGTTATTCCTTAGCCGATTTTGGCCATAGCAAACACTTCAACCCATCGCCGTAGAGCTAACCTAAAATCGGAGTCCTTTATATGAAAGCGGTCATTTGTGCAGGATATATTAATGTGCGCAAGTGTACGCGCTACGCACAGTTGCACATACTCATTTTTATCTTTATAAACCCAGTGGAACTGGGACCATCGTGTCTAATTCTACCGAAAAGTACTAGCTTCAGTTTGAACAACAACTCTGATAAAACACAATTGAGACTTCGTTCTCATGTCAGTGTCAAGACGAGGGGCGGCGGTCAGGTTTCGATTCATATGTGATTCACTTACCACTTTACCTAAAACCGGCACAAAACCGGCCCTGGGTCCTTTTGCGTGTTAGATAATATTAGTTGGTACACATATAGCAAGCCTACCCCATCTTCCCTCGCTACAATAATCTCGCGTATCCTGATGACCTAACGAGCCTGCAATGACTGAAGAAGTTGAAAAAAAAAGCTTTTTGTAACAGTATTTTTAATAATATTCTGAAATACCAAACTGTGATACCAAAAAATCGCACTTAATTATTTAATGAATTTAGCCTACCTGCCAAAGCCACTGTAACCAAACTTCATAATGGTCCATCGTTCTTACCTGAGTTGGGGGCATGCGCTGACAAACTTTCAGCCTTTATAAAAAAACGAAGGTCTGGGGTTCACGGGCTGTTAGAGCATTAGAACAGCTACGCCATCGGTAATTGTTTTAATTCAAAATAGTCAAAAGAATGATTTAAATGAAACACGAAACGGATTGAAATCAATGGCCATATAAAAGTTTTTACCGCACAGTACAACAATAAAAGAATTTTATGATGCAATATGATTATTGATCACCAGTTTAGTACGCAGATACTCGATAACGCGGTTTAGTATCGATATAAAGATTGTAATACGAATAAATGATTTGAATCGGTGCGTACTGCACTGCTAAAGGTAGTTTGAGAAACACGACAGCTCTTTTGTTACTGGGGCATTCATTATCCTATTATATTACAATACATATACTTATATAGGTACCACCGCCCTGTCTATTTCTGTCGTGACGCAGTAATGCGTTTGGGTTTGAAGGGTGGGGTAGCCGTTGTAACTATACTGAGACCTTAGAATTCATATCTCAAGGTGGATGGCGGTATTTACGTTGTAGATGTCTATAGGCTCCGGCACCAAATAAAACCAGGTGGCTGCTCCATGATGGTGAACTCGTCCATCCATACATGCAAACGGAATAGAATTAAAAAAAAACTGATTTAATTTTTTTTTCATGTCACGTACCGTCGTTATACATATCATCATCATCATCATCATCATCATCTGAGGCATTACAGCCGCGAGTGGACCTTACTTAGCCTGGTCCTGTAAGTTTCTTCATTTTGGCTCCAGTGGCTTTCCTCCTCCAACTTATCACCTCTAAGTTCTTGATGTACATGTATACAATCACACTTAAGTTGTTAATATTTACCTATCTTACAATTATTGTCACTTATGGAAATTAGCAATGTCAAGGGTTCAGCTTTCAAAGCAATAGCGCTCTAAGAAATGTTTCTTTCGTGCCGCGATCAGTAGTTTCAAGAAATTTGTAAGCATCACAGCGAAGCGTAACCGGTTTTACTGGTATAATTTAATAATCACTGTAGGTGAATGCATCGGTTTGATTTACTGTTGGAGGTGCATGATTCTGTGATGAAAAAAATCAGTAAATGTGACCTCAAACAGTCATACGCAGCACTCGATATGATAAGTATGGTATAAAAAATAGAGAGCACTAAAATTTCTCACATTACAATGAACCTAAATGTCTCGCTATAGTAGAAGAACTATCATTAAAATTATGAAAAAACACAAGCCGGTATTAATTTACATTAGTCTACAGTATTAATTCATTTTTGTTATCTTTGGTTAAGATAGTGTAACTATTGGAGTGAATAGATAGCAATTTGTGAATTTCACGAAATTAATTCAGACGAAAATCGTTGGAATTGTGGTTTCCATCTGTACGTGCTTTCAAGGTACCTTACCGAGAGTATTTGAGAGAGAAACTAGAGAATTTATCATTGGGGCTTCATTGTTCAGTGAAGAGATCTGATTCTCTCAACTCTAGTGGTACCTATTCTTACAAATAGCCTTTTTTTATTGCCGTATAGGCAGACGAGCATACGGCCCACCTGATGATGAGTGGTTGCCGTCACTCATGGACGTTAGCAATGCCAGGGGCAGAGCCAAGTCGCCGCCTACCGTTTAATACTCTCCACAAGCCTCGTTTAAAGAAGGACATGTCATAGCGCTCGGGAAACACCGTGGAGGGGAGCTCATTCCATAGCCGGATGGTACGTGGCAAAAAAGATCTCTGGAAACGCACTGTGGATGAACGTAGTGGCTCCAAGTAGTGTGGATGAACTCTACTCCGGTGGCGGGCGGTGCGATGGTAAAAGCGAGATGTCGGTATCATCTCGAACAATTCCTCAGAGCACTCCCCATGGAACATACGGTACAGAATACAGAGGGATCCGAAGTCCCTCCGCAGACCCAGAGGTTCCAAACGATCCGTAAGAATGTAGCCCTTCAATATTGCTACGTATTGACAATATAATAATGTATTTGGGAAGAAGCAGATCAAGAGTTTATTATTTATTTTTCTATTACGAAAGTACATTCTCAATAAATGGTGAAGTCCTGACAATTGAAAAAGTTTTTAAGTTTGGGAATTGCGTAGGAAAATGATTGCGAATAATAAGGATAAATTATGGGGAATTAGTAGCAATAGCTTGGGAGATTCTATTTACCAGTAGCTTCTGATTAATAGTTGGACACACGGATTTTATTAAGACCCTTTGACCTTAATGTGACTTATGCGTCCATTTATATACTTACTTTGTTCCCGGTGTTTAGGGAATCATAATTTAAATCCATAAAAACTATGGTGACATAGCTAGTCGGCAACTTTAAGCAATCAAAGGCATTGAACGTGAACCTATCAAATAATTTCGCAGTTTAGCAAAAGTTGTCCAAATAAACAAAAGTATATAAAAAAAAATTAAAGTTTTTGACCATATACTTAAGGCATAGTTGTAGATTTTTTTGTGTGTAAAATATACCTTATTACAACTTATATAAGGTCTATTTTAATTTTTTATAAACTTTTTGACAACGCCTTTACGGTGTATATTCGGTAGGATACCTACAAATTGAAATCCTTTTTATCGATGTGTCCTTTTTATGAATTGCTGTGCCGATTATATCCGCGAATAAAGAAATTTTTATTGGAATATAAGAATTGGGTCGCATTTTATTAATCTCCGTATAGTGACAACGCGATTGAAGGAAGCGCGAATAAGGAGCTTTTGCTGTACTGACACCAAATGCCTCCTCCTACCGTTCGACACCGGCCCTTACTAAATGAGCTGGAATTACAGTTTGTCCGCCAGCACAGATTAATAAAAAACAGTTCACAGTCGAATCTTCTGGTCTCATTGTAAACGAGTGGTCAAAACTCAAATGTGCCTCTGTCTCATTCACGCTACCAACCCACATACGTTCTTCTCTAAGCCGTGCTTAATTATTCATGGGTCGGGCTTAAGCGCCCCTTGCGAGTTCCAGTTTAAAACAACAAATGCTTTTTATTGTTCAAAAATTTCTCTTGTTTCGACAAACGATTGTATTCGAAACAATTTCGCGCGCATGATTTCATTTTATGAGTATTTTTACGGTTTAATCTCGCATTATCTATATATTAATACGTGAAGCAAAAACTTTGTATCCCTTTTTACGAAAATTGCGCGGACGGAGGGGTATGAAATTTTCCACACTTATAGATAATATAGAGAAGGAGTGCACAATGCTAATATTTTTTTAAAATAATGCATAAAAGATACATTAAATCAATAAAGAAAACATAACACACACTACATACCATGTATTTGGCGCACACACGCATGCATACTATTTATTGTCAAACTTTTGTTCTTGACGTCTGTTGTCAAATTGAGAATAGATTAAATATTGTTTTTGATTATTAATATTATTTTATAGTGTAGCCTTGGCGAAATTTGTTACTATAGAAATATAAAATACAATCATAATAGTGTACAAACTTACAATTCCAATTCATTTTAATCGAATTTTGACTACTGCGGGACCTCTAGTTTTTTTTAATTCGCAGTATAGTATTTCTGACGTTTCGCCAGTTTTCGTGGTCACGGAGGACTAAGGTTGTTATTTGTCGATAATTGAATATTATTTTGACTACCGTTTATTTTTCTATAAAACATAATATATGTTCTATGACTCGTGAAAAGCAAAGGAAATACTAATTTGAAGATTGATGGATGATTTACCTCAAAAATGAGGATTAATTCATTATGCCCGCGTAATTTCCCGCTTTTTTGGACTCGTGAAGATGTAATATGATTGAGAAGATGGAAATAAAATATAAAAAAAAACAATGAGAAAGTTAGAATTAACAGGAGTATTTAAGACTGAGAAGTAAGTAACTATTAGTTGGCAGCAATGGTAGCAATACGTGGTGACTAGGGTCGTTTTTTTTTACATATAGCCTATACTATCATTTTATTTATCATTAATTATCTGTCTAAAACTTGCATTAATCAAACTTGATATCAAAATCAGTGTGAACAAGTTTCTTAGCGCTTCTGTTAGTGCTTATACTTGTAGTTTGCATCATCTGTCCGTCTTATCATATTATCTTTATACTTAACTAGCGACCCGCCCTCGCTTCGCTTCAGAAACTGTAATTTATTATTGGTTTCTCCACTATTTAATGGATATTATGATACACATAAACCTTCCTCTTCAATCACTCTATCTATTAAAAAAAACCGCATCAAAATCCGTTGCGTAGTTTTAAAGATTTAAGCATACATTTTTTTTTATTGCCCTTGTAGGCAGACGAGCGTACGCCCCACCTGATGGTGAGTGGTTACCGTCGCCCATAGACTTCAGCAATGCCAGGGGCAGAGCCAAACCGCTGCCTACCGCAAATATACATAGGCATACATAGGGATATATGGACAGAGAAAGCGACTTTGTTTTATACTATGTAGTGAAGAACAGTTTCTGCAATCACATGTCTGTGTGCCTCTGTATTTTCCTTGAAAATTTGTTGTTTTTGTTTTAGGTGACGAGTTTTTGTACCGCGACGCATGGGGCGGTATCAGTTTGATGTTCGCAGCCAATCAGACCTCGAAGACGCTGATGCCAAATTCAACATTTGTAAGTCAATTTTTTTATTTTAAGTTAAGGATATCTCAGTGAGTAATTTTTGTGGTGGTAGGGCGTCTTATTCGGCTGTGGCCACCCTCAGGCCTGTGAGCCTCATTGGAGGTTCGGCTTCCGGCCGGAAAACCAAAAAAAAGGATTCCATCCCCTTTTCATTACCATTTAAATTGAGGTGGGTAGTGCGAGCATTCGTCGAACTAAGTAAAAAAAAAAAAAACTACCCACAGTTTACGGTGATGTACGAATTGACAGTACAATTCACAATATGCACTCAGCGTAACCAATAAAGCCGTTGCCCTCACATCTATAGCCATTTCAGGATTTGATTTTGTAAATTGGTCGTGTCTTGAATGTTTTTTTGTTCCTTCTATTTTGGACTAAAAGTTTTTCCATTGACATAGTTCTTGTTATTCACCACAATGGTTTTTAATCATAAAGTTCTCAAGGAAATCTAGAATTTCTTCCCATCTCTAGATCTTTACAAGAAAAACAAGAACATCAGTATTTTTTTATCTTTATTATTAAGTAGTTGCTTCAACGAAGTAACGTTGGCGTTCGTACCAGTCGCAAGGATTAAGCTTTTCCCGATTAAAGTTTACCCAAAGCGAATGTCAACTGTGCTTTGAAGTGGATATGAAATGTTTATTTGCGTAACTTGGTTTTAAATTGTGTACAAGAAAATAACCTTAATGTTCTCTTAGAGTTTAACCGTATCTGCCTATTAACTAAGTTAATGTCACAACCTGGAGACGAGATCCTGTTAAGTACGCTATAAGAACGGATAACTTACCCTCCGGGTAGTTAAATACAGTAGATAACTTACGCATCGTATGGTAACTGCCTTCAGACCGTATTATTAACACAGGTAGTTTACCACCATTCTGTCTACTTTTGCGTATATGACAGTTTTTTACTGGTGGTAGGACCTCTTGTGAGTCCGCGCGGGTATGTACCACCAACCTGCCTATTNACTTACCCTCCGGGTAGTTAAATACAGTAGATAACTTACGCATCGTATGGTAACTGCCTTCAGACCGTATTATTAACACAGGTAGTTTACCACCATTCTGTCTACTTTTGCGTATATGACAGTTTTTTACTGGTGGTAGGACCTCTTGTGAGTCCGCGCGGGTATGTACCACCAACCTGCCTATTTCTGCCGTGAAGCAGTAATGCATTTCGGTTTGAGGGGTGGGGCAGCCGTTGTAACTATACTTGAGACCTTAGAACTTATATCTCAAGGTGGGTGGCGCATTTACGTTGTAGATGTCTATGGGCTTGAGTAACCACTTAACACCAGGTCGGCTGTGAGCTCGTCCACCCATCTAAGCAATAAAAAAAAACACACACTTCTAACGCTAGAATTCATTGTTGCAAGAATGTGAAATATGTCAGAGCGACACCAATTTACCATATGCGCCCAGGTTTATCTCTCCCAGGCGACGTTCTGCATTGATCTGCAAAGACGCGAGCGCGATATTAACATAACAGCTTTAAAGAAACGTATTTATTCTGCGCAACAAAACTACCAGTATTTCAGTAAAATGTATTGTCTGTTCTCATTAAAGGAATTGAGAAAGAAGGATAAAAATCTCTGAGGGATTCTTTATAAATATCGAGACTGGGTTTTAAAACGGTCTGGAAATAGAAATGCAAACTAACTATCTCGAATTCGAGATATTTGTAGAATTGTTGTATTTATTTATTATGTTGTTCGTTTTTGTTGAGCTTCGAAGTGACGTTTTGTTGATGTTTAACTTTTTTTTCGCCTGTAGCAGACGTAATTTTTTTTTACATTGCTGCTATCGGTGGACGAGTTCGCGGCCATCTCGCCTGGTGTTAAGTGGTCACTGGAGCCCATAGACATCAATCACGTCAATTCCATCGTCCATCTTGAGACATGAATTCTTCTAAGTCTCAGTTTTTACAGTATAACGCAGCCGTTATACTATAGATAAACAGAGTTTTGACGGGTTCTTATCATGATTTTTAAATGATACACGTCATTTCGGATCCTCCCGATCCAATAGCGATGCTTTTAGGTACCTCAAGCACCGGTCACCGCTCTCGTCGAACCCGTGGCTTGCGACGAAGGGCTCGGCGAGTAAATTAATCCACAGACACAGCCCACTGAGTTTCTTGCCGGATCTTCTCAGTGGGTCGCGTTTCCGATCCGATGGTAGATTCTGCGAAACACTGCTCTTGCTAGGGCTAGTGTTAACAACGTCACCAGGTTAGAGTCTCGTGAGCTCACCCACTCGCCCGAAGAATCTAGAATCTAGTATAAAGTTACTAGAATAAGTAGGTAAAAAAAATGATCTTCATAATACATGATTTCAATTTTGACGTCTCACTGACCTTGACCATGACGTATAGAACGACGCTAAAATATCTTAAGCGCTTTATTCACGATCTATCGCGGCTGTACGTCAGCTCAAGGCCGCGGTGCTGGATGTAGCATACAGACTATCGTGCGCGCATCAAGCGTGGAGAGAATAAGTGGAACTTATATCATTCAATAAATCTTGAAATCTGCTGTACAGCAAGTCTATACACGATCAAGCACGCACGACGCAGGACCGCCCTGACGTACGTCCGCGGTATTCACTGTCTATCTGGACGGCGCTCGCGGTGGTGGGGGCACTCGCTGGATGCAAAATTGGTCGTGCAAATCCAGCGTACAACTAATAATAATTATCGACGTACGTCAAGCCTATTCATGGTACTTTTGCATCGTGCATCGTGCATGGCCTTGGCGGGACGTACAGCGAGATGGAACGTGAATAAAGCGCTTTAGCTCATGAAACGTGAAAATCGTGGTAAGAACGAGTTAAATAGTTTATTTAACGCGTTTGCTGTTTAGCCGTGTAAGGTAAAAAAAAATGGAGCGAAAAGACAATATTTACGTATTCTAAATGCCAAGCAAAAAATCTATATATTAATACGTGAAGCAAAAACTTTGTATTCCTTTTTACGAAAATTGCGCGGACGGAGGAGTATGAAGTTTTCCACACTTATAGAGAATATAGAGAAGAAGTGTACAATGCTAATATTTTTTTTTAAATAATGCATAAAAGATACTTTAAATCAATAAAGAAAACATTACACACACTACATACCATGTATTTGACGCACACACGCGTGCGTACTATTTATTGTCAAACTTTTGTTCTTGACGTCTGTTGTCAAATTGAGAATAGATTAAATATTGTTTGTCTTTGTTAATATTTTTTATAGCGTAGTCTTGGCGAAATTTGTGATTATAGAAGTATAGCGACCCGCCCTCGCTTCGCTTCGGAAACATTAAAACACACATGAAACCAAAAAAATAAAATATTTTTTTTTTTTAAAAAGTAGCCTCTGTTCATCAGGGACAATGTCGGCTTCTAATGGAAAAAGAATTTTTCTAATCGGTCCAGTAGTTTCGGAGCCTATTCGAAACAAACAAACAAACAAATCTTTCCTCTTTATAATATTAGTATAGATAAAATACAATCATAATAGTGTACAAACTTACAATTCCAATTAATTATAGTCGAATTTCGACTACATACTGCGGGACATCTAGTTTATTTTAATTAGCATATCTATATTAGAAATTAAGGATGCCAAAAATATGTTTTATCGCTGCACAAACATCTATGCGCAGAGATTGAACGAGCAACTTATCCTGGCGTTGACTTTGTTATTTATTGTCGTTCCAACTCTGAAATATTGCTGAAGTTGCCGACGTATGAAATACTATGGCGAACTGTATGCAAAAAGAGTTCCAAGACTACATTCGTAAGTTTTTCATGAATATAGAGAGAGTCGTGAAAATGAAAAAAAGTAAAAAAATATATTATATTATATAATATTTATTTCCTACTAGTTTTAGGGGCCTTTTGTGAGCCCGCGACGCATCACCTTGCTTATTTCTGCCGTGAAGCAGTAATACGTTTGGGTTTGAACGTTGGAGCAGTCGTACTGAAAAACTGAGACTTAGAACCCGTGTCTTAACCGTGTTGTTGATGTCTATGGACTCTGGTAACCACTTAACACCACATAGACAGTGAGCTCGCTCAACCCTCTTGGCAATAAATAATAAAATAGTAGTACATATATACTATTTATTGAGTAACATAGACCGGTTCTAGTTCTATTCACGTAATTTGATAAGTATCGGTTTTGTATATCTATGTTACATACGTACCGATATTTGGATACGTTTCTCGCCTAATCTTTTTAGTGATAAAAGTGTTGTTGATATAGTTAAAAGCGGTGGTAAAGCTATGACGATTTAAAAGTGTCTGAAAAGCTCTACTTAGTTTACCTACTCTAGCTCTACCTAAGTAAACACTTAATTATTGTAACACTGCCAAAATTGGACAACAGTAAAAGCTTGAAAACGGTGTAAACGTGTCTAACGACCATGTACGGATATTATTTAATTATTAATGACCTTGGTTACCAAAAGATAATATTTTTAATATCTCAGGTAGTGAAAAATGGAGACTTTAAACTAAAAGCCCGTGTCTTAGCGTGGGTAGTAGCATTTACGATGCTGATGTCCATGGACTACGGTGACCAACACCACGTGGGCCGTCTAAACATTATATAATATTCTTAATAGCGTCACTGAGTCATTGTTACGTCATTAGTTTCCGTCTTGAATAGCACCGTCCCATAGTTTCTCATGATTGACGAGCAGCTTTTTCCGCCCAAAAAAATAATCGCATTTATTTGAGCATATTGTCATGCTTATGGGCTCCGATAGCCAATACTAGATGGGCTGTTAGCTCGGCCGCTTAGCAACAATAGACAATCATACACCAACATAAGTAACAACATATGTAATGTAAGTAACAACATAACTTTTTTTTATTGCTTAGATGGGTGGACGAGCTCACAGCCCACCTGGTTACTGGAGCCCATAGACATCCACAACGTAAATGCGCCACCGACCTTGAGATATAAGTTCTAAGGTCTCAGTATAGTTACAACGGCTGCCCCAC